ATATGTCTATCCTTATGTCAGTACCATGCTATCTTGATTACCATTGTTTTCTATTTTCTTTTTCTTTTACTTTTTTTTTTTTTATTGAGACTGAGTCTCTGTTGCCTAGGCTGGAGTGCAATGGTGCCATCTTGGCTTACTGCAACTTCTGCCTCCTGGGTTCAAGCGATTCTCCTGCCTCAGCCTCCCGAGTAGCTGGGACTACAGTTGGCCACCACCACACCTGCTAATTTTTGTATTTTCAGTGGAGACAGGGTTTCACCATTTTATCCATGCTGGTCTCGAACTCCTGACCTCAAGTGATCCACTCACCTCGGCCTCCCAAAGTGCCAGGATTACAGGCATGAGCCACTGCATCTGGCCTCCATTGCCTTCTAGTGAACTTTGAAATCAGGAAGTGTTAGTCCCTCAATTTTATTCTTGTTTTTCAAGATTGTTTTGGTTATTCTGGGTCCCTTGAATTTCCATATGAGTTTGAAGATCAACTGTCAGTTTCTGAAAAAAAATTAACTGAGCTAGGACTCCGATATGGATTGTGTTGAATCTATAGATAATGTTGGGGAGTATTATCTTAACAGTGATAAATCATCAAATCCATGAACATGGGATACGTTTCCATTTTGTTACAGCTTGTTTATTTCAATTTCACTTACGTAACTTATACACTAAAAACTATAAAGTTATATACACATCCTTCCTTCCTTCCTTCCTTCCTTCCTTCCTTCCTTCCTTCCTTCCTCTCTCTTTTTTCTTTCCTTTTCCTTTCCCTTTTCTTTCGTTCTTTCTTTCTTTCTTTCTTTTCTTAAGACAGAATCTCACTCTGTTACTCAGATTGGAGTGCAGTGGTGCAGTCTCAGCTCACTGCAACCTCTGCCTCCTGGGTTCAAGCGATTCTCATGCCTCAGCCTCCCAAGTAGCTGGAATTACACACATGTGCCACCATACCCAGCTAATTTTTTCTTTTTGGTCATAGAGATGGGGTTCTGCCATGTTGGCCAGGCTGGTCTCAAACTCCTGGCCTCAAGTGATCCACCTGCCTTGGCCTCCCAAAGTGCTGGGATTACAGTTGTGATCCACCATGCCTGTCTCTTGTTCTTTATTTCTAAGCATTTTCTTCTTTTTGATGCTGTTATAAAGGGAATTGTTTCCATTTTATTTTCAGCTTGCCCATTGCAGCTATATAAAAATAGAATTGGCCAGGCATAGTGGCTCACACCTATAATCCTGGCACTTTGGGAGGCCAAGGCCAGACTATCACTTGAGCTCAGGAGTTTGAGACCAGCCTGGGCAACATAGTGAGACCTTGTCTCTAATAAACAAATAAATCAATGATTGATTTTTGTGTATTGATCTTGCTGATTAGTTATAATGGCATTTTACTGGATTCCCTAGGAATTTTATTCACAAGATTATACCATCTTGTGAATAAGATCGATGTCTGTATTCTTTGATGCTACTGTAAATGGAATTGTTTTACAGACCTACAAAACACTTGAAGCAAAAACTGCTAGAACTGAAATGAGGAATAGACAAGTCCATAACTACTTGGAAACTTCAATATTCCTTTCTTAGTAATCAATAGAATAGGTCAACAAATAATAAGGATATAGAAGACGTGAGCAACACTATCAGCCAATTTGATCTAATTGACATTTATAACACTACCCAAGAACTGCAGAATACACAGTTTATACAAATTCACAAGGAGTATTCATCACTCTAAGCCATATTCTGAACCACAAAACAAACTTCAAAAAATTTTAAAATATTGGAATCATAAAACTGTTGAAATATCCAAGTATTTTCTTTGGCCACAATAGAATTATACATCTATAATACAAGGTTATCTGTTAAATCTAAATCTTTAAATATTTGGAGATTAAACAACATACTTTAAAATAATCCGGCCGGGCACGGTGGCTCAAGCCTGTAATCCCAGCACTTTGGGAGGCCGAGGCGGGTGGATCACGAGGTCAAGAGATTGAGACCATCCTGGTCAACATGGTGAAACCCCGTCTCTACTAAAAATACAAAAATTAGCTAGGCATGGTGGCGCGTGCCTGTAATCCCAGCTACTCGGGAGGCTGAGGCAGGAGAATTGCCTGAACCCAGGAGGCGGAGGTTGCCGTGAGCCGAGATCGCTCCATTGCACTCCAGCCTGGGTAACAAGAGTAAAACTCCGCCTCAAAAAAAAAAAAAAAAAAAAAAGGAAAAAGAAATAAAAGTTTGGCTGGGCGCAGTGGCTCAAGCCTGTAATCCCAGCACTTTGGGAGGCCGAGGCGGGTGGATCACGAGGTCGAGAGATCGAGACCATCCTGGTCAACATGGTGAAACCCCGTCTCTACTAAAAATACAAAACATTAGCTGGGCATGGTGGCGCATGCCTGTAATCCCAGCTACTCAGGAGGCTGAGGCAGGAGAATTGCCTGAACCCAGGAGGCGGAGGTTGCGGTGAGCCGAGATCGTGCCATTGCACTCCAGCCTGGGTAACGAGCGAAATTCCGTCTCAAAATAATAATAATAATAATAATAATCCAATGGGTCAAGGAGGAAGTGACAAGGGAAATTAGGAATATTTTTTGAATTGAATGAAGATGAAAACACAGCATATAAGAATGTGTAGGATACAACTAAAGCAGTATCTAGACAAAAGTGTATAGCATTAAATGCTTCTAAAAAAAGGTCTCAAATAATCTAAGTCTCCACCTTAAGAAACTATAAAAATATGAGCAAATTAAACCCAATCAAGCAAAAGAAAAGTAATAAAAATAAGAGCACAAATCAATAAAATTTAAAACAGAAAACAGTAAGTAAAGTCAATGAAACCAAAAGCTGGTTTTTTTTCTTTTGAAAAGATCAATACAATTGATAAACCTCTAGCCAGACAGATCAAGACACAAATTAACAGTATCAGGAATAAATGTGGAGATTTCACTGGAGATCCTACACATTTTAAAAGGTAATAAGGGAAAATTATGAACACTTTTATGTCCATGAATCTAGAATTTTAGGTGAAATGTAGAAATTTCTTGAAAGTCTCAAACTACCAAAGCTCCCTCAAGAAAAAATAGATATACTCCTATGTCTATTAATTAAATTCATATTTTAAAATCTTCCAACAAAGAAAACTGCACTGAAGAATTCTACCAAACATTTAAAGAAGACATAATACCAACTCTATACAAACTCATCCAGACAGGAGGGCACAATTCCCAGTTTATCTTGTGAGACTATTATCCTGATACCAGTAGGAGACAAAGACAATATATGAAACTGCAGACCAAGATTCCTCACGAAAATAGATACAAAACAAACAAGCCCATTCAAAAGTGGGTAAAAGATATGAACAGACACTTTACAAAAGAAGACATACATGAGGCCAACAAACATGAAAAAATGCTCATCATCACTGGTCATTAGAGAAATGCAAATCAAAACTACATTGAGATACCATCTCACGTCAGTTAGAATGACGATCATTAAAAAATCTGGAGACAACAGATGCTAGAGAGGATGTGGAGAAATAGAAACACTTTTACACTGTTGGTGAGAGTGTAAACTAGTTCAACCATTGTGGAAGACATTGTGGTGAAGTGCTCAAGGACCTAGAAATAGAAATTCCATTTGACCCAGCAATCCCACTACTGGGTATATATCCAAAGGATTATAAATCGTTCTGCTATAAGGACATATGCACTTGAATGTTCATTGCAGCACTGTTTACAATAGCGAAGACCTGGAACCAACCCAAATGCCCATCGATGATAGACTGGACAGGGAAAATGTGGCACATATACACCATGGAATATTACACGGCCATCAAAAACGATGAGTTCGTGTCCTTTGCAGGGGACATGGATGAACCTGGAAACCATCATTCTTAGCAAACTGACACAAGAGCAGAAAATCAAACACCGCATGTTCTCACTGATAGGCGGGTGTTAAACAATGAGAACACAGGTATACAGGAAGGGGAGCACCACACACTGGGGTCTGTTGGGGGGACATAAGGGAGGGACGGCGGTGGGTGGGGAGTTGGGGAGAGATAGCATGGGGAGAAATGCCAGATATAGGTGAAGGGGAGGAAGGCAGCAAATCACACTGCCACATGTGTATCTATGCAACAATCTTGCATGTTCTTCACATGTACCCCAAAACCTAAAATGCAATTTAAAAAAAAAGAAAATAGATGCAAAACATAGATGCAGAAAGTAAAGATAGTTGCTACCTTGGCAGAGTGGTATTGGCTGGAACGGAGCACAAAGCAACTTCTGTATTGTTGGAAGTGTTATCATCATCTAGGTAGTTTTACATAGGTTTGAACACATGTAAAAATTCATCAAGCTGTTTAAGGTTAGAGCACTTCATTCAGTTTGTTGTATGTATGCTACACCTCAAAACATATTTAAATGTTCAATCTACCAAAAAGGATGAGTGAAAACTGTCTCACGTAGTTTGGTGTATGACACCTGACATGAGATTATTTCTATGCTGATACCTGAGAAATTCTGACGACTAATGAAACAGTTTGGAAACTCTCCTCTATTCTGCTTAAAGTAAAATCATGGTTAATTTATGTAGCCACTGCATCTTCTTCTGGTTAACTCAGCCATTAGAGTGAGCACCAGCCCAGTTGAAAGTTCACAAGAAGCAAGTAAACATTGGATTTGAATTAGAATCAATAATAGCAGCAGGATTTTCTCAGGCTATTTAGAAGCATCATGGCAATTGTTTAAGAAAATATAGGTAGTTTTAGTGAATGCACTACCGAATGTTGGAAGTAGTGGTGAGCTTATTATATATTTCACAATGTTAGAATCAAATTTTAAAAACAAAAAATAAAATATTAGAATCTCTCTACAGCAGTTGAGGATGACCTTCAAATTGTAAGTAAAATTAATTTTCCTTGAAAGCAAAACCTCTCCAGTTAGTGAGATTACAACCAAAGAGAATAATAAAATATAATCACAAAGAATGTTGCATTTTCGCCTCTTTCTTAGGGGACTTCTCAAATGATTCATGTGAGAAATTGCTTCTGCTGTATGAGTTTGAAGTTAGAGCCAAATTGAATGATCCATCACTGGAAAGCTTCCTGGAACCAGTGTGGGAGCTGCCTCATTTAGAATGTAAAACATTTGAAACAATTGCAAGTAAGAGCTATATTTATGCTTTTGTAAGCCTGGTGCCCATTTAGATCCTATCGTATGACTTTTTTTCTTTCTTCTCTTTGTTATTCTTTCTAACCCCCAGGTAGGAAGCAATTTTTCTTCTTAGAACTTTGTTTCTCCTTCTCTAATGCCATTCTTAGACTATTTTGTATTACAATCATTTGTACATTTATCTTCTTCACTCTATGAGATTATAATCTCCTTAGGGTCATAAACAATAGTTACTTAATTTGTACTTACAAACCCTGGCGATGTTCATTGTTCCTAGTAGGTGATCAAATTTTTTCTGTGTGGAATTTAATTACGTAACTGCCAATAAGGGGAGCTCAAACTTCAGAAAGTTTTTCTGAGCTAGCTAGAACTAACTGAGTGATTCAACGATCAAAAGTGATACAATCTTAGCAATTTGTTTAAATGTACAGAGAAATACTGGTTATATATATATATATATATATATATGTATTTTTTTTTTTTTTTGAGATGAAGTTTCGCTCTTGTTACCCAGGCTGGAGTGCAATGGTGCGATCTTGGCTCACCGCAACCTCTGCCTCCTAGGTTCAGGCAATTCTCCTGCCTCAGCCTCCTGAGTAGCTGGGACTATAGGCATGCGCCACCATGCCCAGCTAATTTTTTGTATTTTTGGTAGAGACGGGGTTTCACCATGTTGACCAGGATGGTCTCGATCTCTTGACCTCGTGATCCACCCGCCTCGGCCTCCCAAAGTGCTTACAGGCTTGAGCCGTGGTAATATATTTTTTTAAACACAACTGCCACTCTCAAATTTCAGGATGAACTTTAAGTGGGTTTGGGAACTTAGAGCCTTTTTGGGCATACACTGCAGGAAACAGCCTCATTATCTTCCCTTTTTATCTCACAGCTTCTTCAGGAGTGTGAGTGTGGTTAATAAAAATATTAGGTAGCTCCAAGTGCACAAGAATCACATTTGCCTTTCCTTGGTCTTGCCAAGACAGAATTCCTAGAGCCATGGAGCAGATGATATATACTTTATGGGAATGTGACAATTACCAGTGCTCCTTGTATAATGGAACTCCAATTCTAAAAATCTGTTAAGTGCATCTGGAAGTCTTAGGGTTAGTTACCTCTGATACTTTCTTGTCAAGTGTTTCCTATTTTTAGTATCAGATAAAAATAGGACATTTTAGTACAAGCCTGTTTTGATTAGTGCCCTTTTACTGATCTGCTTTCTATTTCCTTCTTAGTGTGTCCTTCCTTGACTCTCATTCATAAGATATTGCTTCACCTGTATGACTGTGTGCAAGGTCATAGAAACAGTAGGTTTTCTGTTGTTTGCTGAAAAAAGGATGTTACCTGGTAATCCCACCATGCTACTCTGCCGAGAAAGTAGAAGTTATTTACAAAACTGGCTGTAGATTCATCATTTATAAAATTCATCATTGTTTGTTTGTTTTTTGTTCATCTATTTCAGCCCAGTTTCATTAGAGAAAGCAAGTGGTAGCCTAGGATGAAAACTGTGATAGATGACATTATGATGTTCACAACCCTTTTTCTTTTCTTCCTCTAGTAATAGCAATGGAAACGCCTGCACACTACCCTTCCATTGCTCTCAAGGCCTTGAAAAAGGTTTTATTGCTCTACAAAAAGGAAGAATCAATTGATATTTCACAATACAGGTTAGTAAATATAATTCAAAACTTAATCCAGTTTTTTGATAGCCAAAAGAACTATAGTCAATGTCTCATAAGTAACCATTCTTAACTGACCCAACTTAAAAAATGACATGGGGATGATCTGAGGGCACTTCTGTGAACAGCTCCATACCAAGAGTTGTATTATAGACCAATAATTATTCAGCAAAGTCAAGGAGCTTGGGTTTCCCAAATGAGAATAAAAGGGGAAAAGTTGCTTCTTTGTGTGAATCTGTATATATAATAAAACTGCTAAGTACCTTTCTTTCTTTGTTTCATTACTAAATAATATTCCAAATGTATAGAAAAGTACAGAGACCACCCAGATTTATTTGTTTTATTTTTAGAGATGGAGTCTCATGATTTTGCCCAGGCTGGATTCGAACTCCTGGGCTCAAATGATCCTCCATCTCAGTTTCACGAGTAGCTGCGATTACAGGCACACAGCACCCAAATTTAACAAATGTTAACATTTTTCTATGTTTGCCTCATTTTTTTAAGCACTTTGAGCACCAATAAGTGCTATATTAAATATTATCTATTGGGGACTTTTTTGTTTTCTACATCCAGACATAGGGAAAAATAGATGTTGTGTGACTTTTTTGTCTGGAAAACATCATTACAGTCTTCCTGTTTTAAGACATGAAAGACAGTTCTTGTGGAATCATTTCATTTTAAATGCCAGTTCCCTTGCCCATTTGAGGAAGTGCCGAGATGCTTTAAAATGCCTGTAAATTGAACCAGCTCATAAAATATAATAGACAGCCACAACTCCTTCGTGCAGGAAGCTAAAAAAAGAATGAAAGACAACCATAGGCATGAAAAAAGAAAAGATTGGTCAACCTGTTTTACGGCTTCAAAAATCTGTCTTCTGAGGTTGGAGGCCAGATAAAATCAAGGGAAGAACAGAAGTGTTTTGAAGCTGTTAGTCTGGGATGAGATCCAGATTTTACTTATCTTAGCCATGAAGCCAATGATTTCTTTCCTTATGGGATGAGTTTTCTCTTTTTGATTTTTAGCAAATGCATGCACAGCTTGATTAACCTCGCAGTGCCAGATGGGGCGTCGAGTGTAGAGCTCTGTCCCCTGGAAGAAGTTTGGAGCTTTTTTGAAGATGCTCTGAGCCACATTAGCCGCACCGTAAGTCAAATAGTGATATTGAACCTTCGGTTAATTTTAAAGGACTGAACTGTCTTGTGCACTACAAATTACATACAATAATGCTTTCTGATATGAGTTTTAGGATAAATTTGTATTATAATTTTGTAGTTACACACTACAGAATTTTCCTAGGTTTCTGAAATATTAATAGTTGAAAGTAGGTATTTTCTAACACAAATGTGTTATGGATTAGGTCAAAATAGCAGTACTACCAGGCATTTTGAATTATTTTGTATTTTCAAATCATGGTGGGATGATTACTTCCTCTGTGATGATATGAACCTTTTGAAAAGTTTATTGCTATTCCCATCCTTTCTCAGAGGAAGGAACATTGAAAATCTTTATTCTAGTCCCTCCTCTGCTGATTTCTTTTTCTTTTCCATGCATGTTTTTTCAGTGGTTTTAAAGTTAGCTTTCCTGAGGTATAATTTACATATCATACAATTCACCCCTGGCTTGTGCAGAATTCAGTAAATTTATAGAGTTGTGCAATTAACATTACAATCCAGTTTTTTTTTAATTTAAAAAATATTTTTAATTTTTGTGGGTACATAGTGGTATATATATTTATGGGGTACATGAGCTATTTTGGTACAGGCATATAATGCATAATAATCACATCAGGATAAACGGGGTATCCATTGCCTCAGGCATTTATCCTTTGTGTTACAAGCAATTCAATTATACTTCTAGTTTTTAAAAATGTACAATTAAATTATTGTTGATTATAATCACCCTGTTGTGCTGTTAAGTACAGTTCTTATTCATTCTAATTTTTGTACCCATTAACCATTCCCACATTTCCCCCCACCCCTCCTCTGGTAACCATCATTATACTCTTTGTCTCCCCAACAGGTCAATTATTTTAATTTTTAGCTTTCACAAATAAGTGAGAACATGTGAAGTTTTGTGTGTGTGTGTGTTGGGCTTATTTCATTCAACATACTGACCTCCAGTTCCATCCATGTTGTTGCAAGTGACTGGATCTCATTCTTTTTTACGGTTGAATAGTGCTCCGTTGTGTATAAGTACCACATTTTCTTTACCCATTCATCTGTTGATGGACACTTAGGTTGCTTGCAAATCTTTACTATTGTAAACAGTGCTGCAACAAACATAGGAGTACAGATACCTCTTTGATATACTGATTTCCTTTCTTTTGGGTATATACCCAGCAGTGGGATTATTGGATCATATGATAACTCAATTTTTAGTTTTTTAGGAACCTTCAAACTGTTCGCCATAGTGGTTGTACTAATTTATGTTCCAACAGTGTATGAGGGTTTCCTTTTCGCCACATCCTTACCAGCATTTGCTATTGCTTGTCTTTTGGATATAAGCCATTTTAACTGGGGTGAGATGCTGTCTCATTGTAGTTTTGATTTGCATTGCTCTGATGATCAGTGATAGCAAGTACCTTTTCATATGCGTGTTTAACATTTGTTTGTCTTCTTTTGAGAAATGTCTCTTGAGGTCTTTTGCTTATTTTAAAACTTGATTATTAGATTTTTTCCCTATAGAATTGTTTGAACTCTGTATCTATTCTGGTTATTAATCCCTTATCAGAGGGGTAGTATGCAAATATTTTCTCTCATTCTGTAAGTTGTCTCTTTGCTTTGTTGATTGTTTCTTTTGCTGTGCAGAAGCTTTTTAACTTGATGTGATCCCATTTGTCCATTTTTGCTTTGGTTGCCCGTAATACCTTGTGGGGCGTTGCTCAAGGAATCTTTGCCTACTCCAATATCCTGGAGAGTTTTACTGATTTTCTTATTGTAGTTTCATAGTTTGAGGTGTTAGATTTGAGTCTTTAATTCATTTTGATTTGATCTTTGTATAAGACAAGACATAGGGATCAAGTTTCCTCCTTCTGCATATGGATATCCAGTTTTCCCAGAACCGTTTATTGAAGAGACTCTCCTTTCCCCAAAGTATGTTCTTGGCACCTTTGTCAAAAATGAGTTCACTGTACATGTATGGATTTATTTCTGGGTTTACTATTCTGTTCCAGTGTTGAGCTATCTGAAGCTGGAGGAGGGGTGAAACAAGCACCCTTGTTACCACTACCACTGGGACTGTGCTGGTCAGACCTGAAGCCAGCACAGCACTGAGTTTCACCTAAGGCCCACTATAACCACTACCTGGCTACCACCTATGTTTGCTCAAAGGCTTAGGGCTCTACAATCAGCAGGTAATGAAGCCAGCCTGGCTGTGTCCTTCCCTTCAGGGCAGCGACTTCTCCCTGGTCCCAGAGATGACACACAGGAGCCAGGGCCTGGAGTCAGAAACCCTAGAAATCTACCTAGTGCTCCATTCTACTGCAACTTAGCTAGTACCCAAACTACAAGACAAAATCCTTCCCACTCTTTCCTCTTTCTTCATGCAGAAGAGTCTCTCCCCGTGGCCACCACTTCCAGGTGGTATGGGGAGTTCTGCCAGGCTACTGCCAGTATCCACTTAAGGCCCAAGGGCTCTGCAGTCAGCTTGTGGTGAATGCTGCCAGACCTGGGACTCATGATTCAGAGGAGTGAGCTCCTCTCTGGCCCAGGGCAGATAGAGAAATGCCATCCAAGGGCCAAGGCCTGGAACCGGGGACCCCAGGAGCCCACTTGGTTCTCTACCCCACTGTGACTGAGTTGGTATCTACGCTGCAATACAAAGTCCTCTTTTCTTAAGCAGAAGGAGTCTCTCCTCATAGCCATCATAGCTGGGAATGTACTGGATCACACCTGAAGCCAGCATGTCTCAGAGTCTCACCTAAGGCCCACAGTATGTACTACCTGGCTACTGCTGCTGATCATTGAGGACCAAAGTGCTATTTAGTCAGCAGGTAATGAATCGTGCCAGGACTGGGTCCTTCCCTTCAAGGCAGTGGGTTCCCTTCTGGCCCAAGGTCTGTCTCAAAATACCTGGAATGGGGTCCTCATGCCTCTGCCAAGTGTCCTGTTCTACTGTGGCTGAGCTGGTATCCAAGATGCAAGACAAAAGGCCTCTTTATTCTTCCCTCTCCTCTCCTCAAGTGGAAGGAAGGGGTCTCTTTGGGAGCTGCAAATTGCACTGCCTGGGGTTGAAGGAGGGGTGGTGCAATCACCCCCTTGACTGCCCTGGCTAGTCTCTCACACCCCCCACAGATGCACTGGCTCCAAGTGCAGCACAACTCTAGGACTTGCCCAGGAGTTGCAGTCCTTGTGGCCTAGACTGCCTCTCAAATTTATTTGGAACCCCAGAGCACTTTAGCTCTCAGTGGCAAGGCTTGTTAGAATTCAAGTTCCAACCACTGAGATGGACAATTGCTGTCTCGCTAAGGCTGGTCTAAATACTCCCTCCATGGGCATCAGCCTTGTTCTGCCCAGTGTTGCTTTCTGCTGTGACAGGGCAGCACTGAGTTTCTAGCAAGGCCCTACAATCACTCTGCTCTCCCTTCCGCAAGCACACAGATTCGCCATCACATGCATAGGAGAATGGTGGCATTGGCAATTCAAGATTGTCTTTCCTACTCTCTTCAGTGGCCCTTTCAGCAATATGAAGTTAAAACCAGGTGCTGTGATCACTCACCTGATTTTTTATTCTTATTTTTTTGTGTAGATAGTTGTTAAATTTGGTGTTCCTACAGGGAGGATGATTGGTGGAGGCTTCTGTTCAGCCATCTTGCTCTATCTTTCCTCCCACAATCTAGTTATAGAACATTCCCATTACCCTAGAAAATTTCCCCTTGCCCATTTGCAAACAGTCCTTGCTCCCACTTTCAGCTCCAGGCAACCACAGATCCACTTTCTATCTCTGTAGATTTTCTCTTTCTGGACACTCATATAAATGGAATTATATAATGCATATCCTCTTGTGTCGGGCTTATTTCATTGAGCATAACATTTTTGAGGTTCATCCATGTTGTGACATTATCAGTATTCCATTTCTTTTTTGTTTGCTGAATAATATTCTAGTGAATGGATGTAACACACACTTTGTTTATCCATTCATCAGTTGATAGATATTTGAGTTGTTTCCACTTTTTGGCTATTACGAATAGCACTACTATAAACATTCATGTGCAAGTGTTTTCGTGCACATATGTGTTTAATTCTCTTCAATATATACCTAGGAGTGGAATTTCTGGGTCATCTGGTAATGCTATGTTTAACTTTTGGAGGAGCTTCAGTCTGTTTTCCAAAGTGGCCGTACCATTTTACTTTTCTACTAGCAATGTATGAGTATTCCAATTTCTCTACATTCTCAACACTTTTTAATGTTCATCTTTTCTTTTTTTGTTATAGCCATCCCAGTGGGTGTGGAGTGGTAGCTCATTGTGGTTTTGATTTATATTTCCTTGATGGCTAATGGTATTGATTATTTTTTTCATGTACTTATTGACTGTTTGCATGTTGTGTTTGTATAAATGTCTATTAAATTATTTTACCATTTTTAAAATGGGATTTTTTTTATTGAGTTGTAAGAGTTCTTTATATGTTGTGGATACAAGCCCTTTATCAGATATATTATTTGTAAGTATTTTCTCCTAGTCACTGGCTTATCTTTTCATTTTCTTAAGGGCATCATTTGAAGAATCAAAGGTTTTAATTTTGATGAAGTCCAATTTATCAATTTTTTTTGTGGGTAGTGGTTTTGATCATGCTGAGAAATCTTTGCCCAACCCATTTAGAAAGATTTTTCCTGTGTGGTTTTGTAGAAGTTTTCTACTTTTATCTCTGACATGTAACTCTATGAATCATTTTAAATATTGTTATAGTGTGAGGCAAGGGTCTAAAAGTTTTTTTTGTTTGTTTACTGTTGCATATGGGTATCACTCCTCTGCTGTTTGACTTCATTTTTCTCATTTGTAAAATGGGAATAATACCTGATCTGACTCTTCTACACTGGGGTTGTAAGGATTGATAAATTAATGTATGTTTTGTAAACTTTAACAGCTCATACGCATGTTAGTATTGTTATTATAAAAGAGCTCTACAACATTAGGAACACTACAT